AAAAAAATGCAGTTTAAATACCAATAACAAAACAAAATCACAAATCAACCATTGAAAGTATAATCACAATAATATGTGAAAAGAAAATCATAAATACTATTATATTTCATCTAAGTAAACGCATCAAATGCAAAATGATTGAGTGGCTCATAAACTGAACTGTTCGTGAGTTTGACTCAAATTCGTTAAGGCTCTAGTTCAGTTTGAGTCGTTTACTAAAATTGAGTTTGAACTGATTTAGCATCTCACTTAGAGCTCAACTCGTTGAAGATCAAGTTAAGATTAGTACTTTAGCTTATTTATTAGCTTTATTACAATAGAGGTTTTGATCAACAGATTTGATCAACCCAAAGCACTAATTAAGCGCTAGTAATAAGGTACTCAAACTGTTATAATCGAGTGTAAATACGGTAATTTTGCGTAAAAACAAGTAATAATGAGGTCGGCCATTATTGATGTCGGGTATTTGCCTTTAATGTTCTACTTAATGAGGGAATGTGTCTTTCTAATAGAGAATTTTGTAAACCCTTTCCCAATGGATTCTTAGGACTACTTATCGTAAAAGTGGCCCGGTTACTGTTCCTAGAGCAGTACAATTGAGCATTAAATGAAAATGAAAGACATTAAATGCCACAATGACCCTATGAAGCTTTTGCACGCAGGCGGACAAACTTTTTGTCAGTAATGTCGTGCTTTTTTTATGATGCGGCTACAAGTTGGTATTATTTTATTACCTTATGCGGCCTTACTGTGATCGGCTAGGGTATTAGTGCATCAATCTCTCTCAATTTAGCCAAGTCTTGAGCTCAGCTCTCGTGACTAGTAATCATAGTATTTATCATTGTAGATATTACAAGAACTTTTCACATCAAATATGGTTGTACAGCATTATTAACCATGTGTACTTTTAGTTAAATAGTTGAATCATCTTTTAAATTACTCATGCATTCACCTAAGTTATCTCTTAAAGTTACTTGCACATTCCCACAAGTTTCTTATTGGTATAGTAGAAGGAAGGAGAATAGCTCAAACCAACACCAAATCTAATTGTCTTTCAACGTAGACCTTACTTTGGAATAACGAAAAAAAAAATGGTGGTCAACCATTGTGATGTGAACATATATGACCATTAAGAATCCTTATTGGCAACCTTATTCTTCTCCCACAAAATTAGGACAAAATTGTATTGAGGAGCTAAAATACTCACCACCACCAACCTAAATTAACCAACTTTTGACTTACTATTTTTAGAACATTACAAAATCCTTTTTTTTTTTTCCAAAAATAAGTCACATTACTTTGAGCCACTCGAAGCAAATGGCAAACCACAAATCTCTCAAAAATCCCACATGTATATAAAAACACCTTCCCCGCAGGAAAGCTAAAAGAATAAACTCATCTTCCCTTTAAAGAACCATTTGCATTCTTGAGTGTGGTTCTAAAAAGGTCTGGTCTGGTTAAAAGGTCCGAAACCCGCCTAGCGAATACGGGTTCGGCCCCCAGACCTGATAGTACGGAAAAAACGTCAATAAAAAGGCAAAAAATTTGTATTCAAAACTAAAAAAAAAAAGAATAATGCAGATGGATTTGGGACGCTACACACGATTTGTCGTGCTCTTCGCTCTTGCCTCGTGCATCAACGCAAACATCTTTGAGCTCGACGAGGTTTGGCAGAAACGTGCTGACGAAGCATGGAACCGAACACTCGCGTCTTACGAGCCTAATCCCGAGAAGATCGTCAGCCACCTCAATCTCCACGTCCACAGGTATACTTAAATACAAGCGAAAAATATCTCTCACTATATATAAATGCAGAGTTTCCAGAGTCTACGTGTGAACTTTGAGTGCGTTTTTGTAATCATATGCATCGATTTCTGGTGCTTTTTGATTAGCCCATGTACATTTGGACTATTATCAAATTAATCATTTCTTAACGATCTTTGATTTGGATGGATTGATCACTTCTTGCGTGTTCGATGTTCTTACTCAACTACAGAGCCATGAAGGAAGTGAAGGCCGAGAAAACGGGTACAAACAGCACGCGCCGCCACCTAGCGCACGGGTACAACGGCCCGTGCCTGGCGACGAACCCAATCGACCGGTGCTGGCGATGCCAACCCAATTGGGCTGAGAATCGGTTTCGGCTGGCAGATTGCGGGCTCGGTTTCGGGTACAAGGCCAAGGGCGGCAAAGGCGGGAAAATATACGTAGTGACAGACTCATCGGATAGAGACATGGTGAACCCGAAAAATGGGACCCTTCGGCACGCGGTCATCCAGAAGGAGCCGTTATGGATCGTTTTCGCTAAAGACATGGTCATCCGATTGAGCCAAGAGTTGATAATGACAAGCGACAAGACGATCGATGCACGTGGGGCCAACGTCCACATTGCATACGGAGCCGGGATCACGATTCAATATGTGAAAAACGTCATAATCCACGGGCTCCGAATCCACGACATAGTCCCGGGCTCGGGAGGCCTCATCCGAGATGCGGTCGACCACTTTGGACTCCGCACGAAGAGCGACGGTGATGGTATCTCGATTTTCGGGGCGCAAGACGTGTGGATCGACCACGTCTCAATGACCAATTGTAGCGACGGGCTCATCGACGCCATCATGGGCTCGACCGGCATCACCATCTCAAACGGACACTTCACCGACCACAACGAGGTAAATTTTAGGCTCAATTGTATTTTATTCATGTTGGTTTAATGCCATAGCAATTTTAGTTTCAATATTCTAACATTGATTTAATATATTGCTGCAAACTCAATCTTTTGAGGACTGAAATTGCAACATATTCCAAAATTTACATATTTTTTATTAACAATTTTAGTCATATAATTTAAAATTTTGTGTAATTGAAATTTAAAATTCACATGATCAAAAGGCGCAAGTTAGAACCTTGGAACTATAATTGCTTTGGAGTTAAACCAACATGGTCAAAAATGTATTTTTGCTTGAAGTTTACCATTATACCCCTTCCCCCGTGTGAATCCTCGACTAGCTAACTTACACATTATTATTTTTTTCCCGAAAAGGCCATGTTGTTTGGGGCGAGCGACTCACACTCGAATGACGCGCTCATGCAAATAACGGTGGCGTTTAACCACTTCGGAAAAAGGATGGTTCAAAGAATGCCGAGGTGTAGGTGGGGATACATACACGTCGTCAACAACGATTACACGCACTGGAATATGTACGCCATTGGTGGGAGCGCGCACCCGACGATCATTAGCCAAGGAAATCGCTACATTGCTCCACCGGACAATCCATTCGCCAAGGAGGTTGACACATTGAATAATTTGTATATAATAGAATATACAAATACATACATACATTCATTGTTCGTTCGTTACTCATTAGTAAATTAACGAACGAGAGTACATGTATTTGGCAAGTGCAGGTGACAAAGAGAGAGTACTCACCAGAGTCCGTGTGGAAGGCGTGGACATGGAGATCGGAAGGGGACATGTTCTTGAGAGGGGCGTTTTTCGTGCAATCGGGAGACCCGAAATTCACGAGCAAGCACCCGGAAAAGTACGACAAAATTGTGGCTGCATCTGCGCAGAATGTTGGGGAGATGACCAAGTTTGCAGGTGTATTGGGCTGCAAAGTTGGGAGACCTTGTTAGATAAATTTACCAAAAAGAAAAGTTTAAAAAAAAATATGTAACTAAATTATGGGGATGAAAATTTTTACCACCTATTGCTGCAAGCTACTGCAGAGGAGCAAGGGAAGATGTGGAAGGATTGACTAAGATGCCACTATATATATATACATTATATATATTTTTTATTTGATAATTTTTTATTTTTTTTTGGTGGAAGAAAAAGATAAAAAGGGGAAATGAAGGAATAAAAAGTGGTGTTGAGGAAGAAATAGGAGAGTACATTACATTTTTATTTGTTTGGAGTTTTTAATTGTAGCCCATCTGCTGTGAATAGGAGGTTTTTTGTACCCAGTTTTGCTCAAGTTATTACGTTTTTGCATCGTGTTAGTTTAAATAAGAAGCCGATTAGGTTTTCATAGTTTCATTCCACTCCTTTTTGATTGAGTTTGTCATCTGCAGTACTCTAAGCATTATACAGATGAATATTGTTTAAGGATTATATTTAACACAAAGTTGCTGGTGTGTAAACAAGAGTACTAGTACAGAAAGAATTACTAAGAGAGTGAAAAAAAAAAAACACACACACACACACACTAGTTCTTCTAGTTACAACTAGTAAAAGTAGAGGATCCATGTCACAAATGTAAAACAAATTATGGTACCTATTTCTCTGGGTATATCAGAAAAGGTGCTCCTGCTCCGTCTTGAACCTGATGAGAAGGAGAAAGTAATGCATATTCGAACCCTCAGCAGTGTATGCCTGTCAAACTCCACATAGTTTCAGTTCGAATTGTGCAAAATTCTATCTCCATATGTACGTAACATACCAATAGACATGATAAGGTGATTGCTCAAAGCAAGAATTAAAGGCAAATCTGTGAAAAAAGTCACATGGCATTTCCAAGAAAAAAAAAAAAAAAAAAAAAAAAAAACTTGTTATCACAGCAACATATATAGAGCCACATTTGTAAGAGCCGTAAAATAAAACCGGATAGGAATCTCAAAGGCAAACCGATGAAAAAAGTCACAATGGCATTTCCCTTTCTTGAAAAACTGAATTATACAGTCCGAGCAAGTGTATCTATCACCTCACGCCCTTTGAAAATACAGATGAATCGACTCAAACGCGGTAGGGTAGGGAAGCCTGACATACTTTCAAAAATGTCTAAAACTGTTTTCTCTTGTTCTGAAACAATTTATCTCTTTTCGCATACGCATAAAGCAAAGCAAAGAAAATAACTCCGGACGATACAAAGGACAGCCACGGAAAAGGTGGGTCCTTAAAACAGACGAGCGAGGCTTCCAACTCCTGAGACGCTTGATAAACGAGCGTGTGAATTGCATATAAATCGTGGTCGGACGAACGCAGGTAATACAAAGCCATCTCGTAATCAAAATGCGACATGGCAGAGATCGATTTTTCCAGCTTGTACCTAAACAAATTCCACCTCTGCAAAAACTCAGTGTGCCTGTTGCGTTTCAAAAGCTTTCTCTCCCCACCATGCGAACCGATCGATTCAAGAATATCAACCCCACTCGAGATGCTGTAATTCAAAGACGTCAAAAGCATATTTCTCTTTACAGCATCCTTCTGAACGAAGGATAAAGAAAATACCTCCGAAAACGGGCCGAACGGGGTCTGCCCGACACTCCATGTGTAGTCCACAAGTGAATGATTATGGCGTGGGCTCCACACGAGGTGAGTAGGTGAGACACCCCACATGCTCTGCAAAATCGAGCCCACGAGTGGCCTCTCAAGTTCTCTAGTCTGAGTGAACACATGATGTCCATTGCAACTGTAGTCACTCACTGTCTGAGTGCTCTTTGTCCTGACTGCAATCACCATATCCTTAAATGCGACTGACTGGTGATACCGGTCGAGCAACAAAATCGTGTTGACATCAAGATCGAAAACATAAACGGGAAGTATTCTACCAAACTCCTCCTCAGGAAGCTTGCCCACCCTTCTGAACTCATCAACAGACTCCAAGATTGACTGGTGCAAACGCTTGGAATCCAAATACTCACTCACAATCAACGTGTAATTGTCAAACAGGTACCTAGACGTGTACGAGGTGGTTGCTCTAGCGATTGCAAACGAGCAAATCGAACACTCAGATAATTTCACATCATATTTTTTGAAACTCAAACTCTGATCCCCCAATAATAATTCATGGTTATTAACCTCATCCATGAAAGTTCTCTCTATGGACTTCCAGTCCAAACCCAAACTACCAACATTATCACCGTGAATATGAACGAACTCAACAATCAATTTGTTCTCATACGGCACGGGGATTCTCAAAGATGGGACAAGAAGTACCTGATAAGCGCTCCACACTAAAGAAGCCAAATCTGAAAGCAGGGCCTTTTGCGATTTGGGCCGGCCGTGGAGTGCCGCTAACGGATGGAACTCGCCCTTCGGGAGGACCCCATCACCGGACAAGGCGGGCCCGTAATCGACTGGCCCGGCTCCCAGATCAATCCATAAGTATCGGTCTTTCCCGGCCCAGATGCTGCCCAAGCACTTGGTGTGGCCAGGGGAGCTATCCCCAGGGGTGTAGCTGTAAGCATAGGGTTTTGACTGGGACCCGAGATGGATGATGAAGATGTGGAAAGAGCTGACGGGCTTCTCCTTCTCGAATTCCTTCCGGATGATCTGGTCGATGACGGAGTAGGGGACTGCGGAGAGGGCGGATCGAAGGGGGGACGGGGAGGAGGCGAGGTGGGAGCTGATGGCGGAGGAGAGGGCGGCGGAGAGGGAAGGAGGAGCGAGGGAGGCGGACAGGTGGAGCGAGTGGGAGACGGAGAGGTGGTGCCCGGAGTCGGAGAAGGGGGTGATGACGTGGAAGAGATCGGAGGATACAGCGGAGGAGACGAATGAGGAGAGGAGGGAGGGGGAGGAGGAGGCGAAGGTAGGGCCCACCAGGTGGACGGCGATGGGGACGGGGAGATCGAGGGAGAGGAGGGAGGCTAGGGACGGAGGGTGGGCGGCGGAGGGTTGGGAGAGTGGGGTTTTGAGGGAGGAGGGGAGGTAGGGGAAGGAGTCATTGGCCGCGTGGGGGTCCCGGCGGAATTGCTGGGTGAGGAAGGAGTCGAGGCCGATGATCGGCGCGGCGGAGGAGGCGTTGGGGACGAGGAGGAAGAGATGAAAGAGGAGGAGGAAGGCGGCGGTAAGGGCCATTTTACGCGGCGGATTGCGGTGGGTTTTTGAGGATCTGAGGTGGGGAGTTGGTGCTGATCGGAGATGAACTGAAGTGAGGATGGAAACAAGGGATGGGGGAATCGATCATCGGTCAATGATATTGGTCGGGTCGAATCGGGCATGGGAAGGCCCGTTGGACTGCCATTTCGCCATTTCGCATAGTCTAGGACCAACTCATATTTTTTGATGGGCTTTCACTAAGACAATAAATTGCATAAGACATTTTTGTTTTTAACTTTCTTTTCAAAAATCGCGAGCGAGCATGTTTGTTTATAAGAATTTTCAAAAATTTTCCAACATTTTAACTCAATCACTTTTTTTAACTTAACAGCCCTATCATCAATTTTATCAATATAATTAAATAATATCAATCAATCATTCATACACACCACATCAACCTTAATTCACTATTTATCTACTCACATAATTTTAACTAACAATCACATCACATCTTCTCTCTCCTACTTTTACTTCAAAATAATTTTATTCATTTTATTTTAAATATTATTTTAATATATCTACTAACAACTAACCATACAACCTTTTCAAAATTAACCAAACCAAACAAAAAAATCCAAACAAAATCAAAAATTTTTATAAACAAACATGCTATTAATATCTCCGGGAAATCCTTGAGCGCCGCCACCGCCTGCAAAATTCTCTCGGATCCTCCGTGCTCCTGAACTCTGATCTGCCGCACCTCCTTACCGGGTAAACATATAACGTGACGCATCTTTTCCGGAACTTGAACCGCGCTATCTCGGAACCCGCCATCCCCCGGATCAGCCTCCAGTTCACCTCTCCTAGCGGTATCTCCGCGGGCCACATCTGCTCCGCGGCCTCCTGATGTTCATCATATTTTCATGCATTATGAGTGATATAGTGTGATGTTTGACCGTG